AGAAAATATGAATTTACATGTTAACCCGAAAAACCCAACAAACGATGTCAACGTTTATGTTAACTCAGTAGAACTCGTTCTTTTACAGCATTTGACAATAAATGACTTTATTCCTTTATTCACTGTATTTAAATCAGCAAAATAAATGATTATTCTACAGATACCTGCTTTTATTCTAAAGAAATGTAAACATCTGATCCAGCTTCAATCATCATTTCATTTATATTTTCTGACTTCACTCGTTATTGTGTGTAATTTACCAAAACGGGAATTTTCAATGATTTTATTGAAAAAAAGCTTGTTTGTTTTTTTTAACGGTGCACTCTCGTTTAATTAGTCTAATTATTTTCATTATGAGTTTATTCTTATATATTATTATTATTATATATTATCTATTTTAATGTGATGGAGCTCCGGTTCCTTGTTGCTCTTCAGATTATTTTCCACCGTGAACAGATTCACAAAGACTCAGACTCACTGTGACACCATTAAAACCTCCTCCAGCATCTTTAGCTCTCCGTCCTGACCTCCTTCCTCCTCCTTCCTCCTCCTCGGCTGCATCGCTCTGACTTATCGATGTCCTCTCGCTCTACTTCTTTGCTCAGCGAGCTGCGAGGAATCAAACACCGACGGAGACAAAAGGTCGAGCGTCTCCATGTGGATGCTCATGATCTGCTGTTCACTTGTTCCACGTCTGTTGAAACCACAAACATCGACGCTCACCACTAAATCAGCAGCACGCCGGGTTGTTGTGACGAATAAATTCAGTGTTTGGCCGTAAATCTAAAAGAAAAAAATAATTTCACATCTTCTTTTGTGCAATTAAAAGCCTGTTTGTTTGCTGTGGAGCAGTGAGAGGCCAAATTACAAAAATAAATCAGTGAAAGAATAACAAAATAAAAGTTAAATAAAAATAAATAATGTGGTGAAAATTAATCCATAAAAGAAAAGGCTGACAAAAGTAGAAATACAAAGACAAATAAATAATATTTTTAATTATTTCTATTTATTTATTTTTATTATTTTTATTTGATTTTAAAAATATTTTTTAAAATATTTTAAATTTTTAGTTGTTGTTTTTTTTATTATTTTTTTTAACGTCGCTTTATTTATTTATTTTTTTTTTATCATCATGTTTCATTAAAAATGTGCCTGAAACAATCCGTTTGTCTGAACAGGATTCTGTAAAAAAACAGGATCTGCTCACGTCGGCCACGAAGCCACGACCGAGAGTCACCTCACAACAACTCAGAGAATGTTCGGCTGGACTGCCGGCAGCGTCACAAATGCAAAACTCGCTTTTCTGCTCCATTCCACCGGCGGTTTGGTCTGAACGGCAGGTTTCCTCTGAAAAGATCCACAAGACGGCAGAAACAGTCCGACAACAGTCCGACGTGCAGCTGGAAGAACGAACCGGAAAACAGATCAACGTCCTTTATTTGACAGGAAAAAATGATCCGTCAGCTCGAGCTGTTAGACACAACGGTGACGTTACAGCTGAAGCTGAAACATCCGGCTGAGCTGCAGATTCCAGGTTTACAGGTTTCTGAAAATATGCAGCTTTTCTTTGCAGTGTTGGGAACATCTGTGGACATATGCATGATTTTTTTAATTTTTGCAAAATAAATGATCTAAAAAATCTATTTTTCCTGAAAAAATTCCCTTTTTGACACGTTTGAAGCCACTTTGGATCATTTCTGAGTCTTTCAGACACGTTGATAACACGGGTTTTCATCTTTTTGTAAATTAATAACCAACAAAAGCAGCTGGTAGTTGGTTAAATCTGCACAGACGACGAGATCGAGTGCAGACAGAAGAAAACGCTTCCTAAAGTGGCTCTGGTCGCCTCCAGGGTTCTGAGCTGTGACCTGTGGTTCAGCCCGTCCAGGTCCGGTTCTCCAACAGCTGTCGTCTCCGTCTGAACGAAGCTCTCAGGTGAGATCACGTTTCATTCACGCCGTCAGACTGACAGAAGGCCAGAAGCTGCCGCTCACAGACGGACGACAGATGGTCCGGTCTGACCCAGCGAGGGCGTGAAGCTGCTGGACGGAGGAGCCTGCAAACGCACCGTCTCTGATTACCGGTGAAAACCGACAGAAACAGAAAGAAACGTGGATGTTTAAGGACGCCAACACGACCAATGAGCGAAAATGAGACAAAACGTCAGCATGAAGAGACAAAGCATGACCAGAAATACAAATACGACCATCAAGGGGCAAAATGTGATCATAAAGAGACAAAATATCATTAAAATGAGACAAAATACGACAAAACGAGGCAACAAATGACCTAAAAGACACTAAATGACCATAAAGGGATGAAATATAACCATAAAGATTCATA